CAAGACTTTTTTTTACAAACTGGCTCTTCTCTCAGAGCCAGAGTGTCAGTTTACAGTAGAGGGCCATTTTAGAACATATAGCACATATTATTTAAGTATTTTCAAGATAAACAGAATGTATAAGTGCAATATATATTAAAAATATATATATATATTTGCACTCTTTCAACATAAAGGTTTACCATTGCACAACAAGAATTGTGATTTGACTTTTCTACTATGAAAACAAGTTTTACAAAGATATTTTGCCACTGATTATTCAAAACTTAAGGTTGTGAACTAGCAGTGTTATGCTGCTTTGAAACATCACTGTCACTGTAAACAACAGGCTGATAAAAATATAACAAACCAGCAATCTTCTTGCTGTGAGGTGGTCAAACTACCCACTGTGCCACCCATTATTTTTATCATTATTATTATTAATATTATTATTATTATTATTATAATTAAATAAAAATTAACAGGAGGAGGTGTTTAAAACCTTCGTTCTCCGTGACACTAGGCTGAATATCTTTGCAGATGAACAATGCAATAGCATTCGTTATTGGCGTAGAGCGAGCAGAACTGTTGCGCACGGAAAAAAAAACTTGCAATGCTTTTCTCACCACTTTTGGAGCTGGTTGAAGCAGTGCAGGAAGCCGGGGATGCAGGAACACTGGAAGATGCTTTCACAACAACACAGTGGCGCCGCTTCAAGTGAGATTTCAGATTAGTCGTACTGCCCGCGTATTTTACAGATGCGCGGCACATTTTGCAAATTGCATCTGTCCTGTCATGTCGTCCATCCTTAAATCCATAATGTTGCTTGCCATACTTTAGATTTAAAACTCAGTGAGGAATAAAATGTTTGTTTTGCTTCTCGCGCTTTCTGAGGGCGCACCCCTAGCTTCATCCGCACACCTGATACACTGAGTTGTAGTGTAAGTGTACACATCCGCAAATCCGTTGCTAAGGCTTACTTTATGTAGGTCGATTAAATTATGCGCCAAAAACAGGTTGACAACACTTGTTAATAAATAAAAAATACATTCTATATTAAAAATATAAGCTGTATCTCGGAAAAATCGATGCATCTCGCAAAAACCGATGCATCTCGATTTGCTTCCAAAATTTCATTCGTCCTCTGCTGCTCAACCGATGCACTCGCATCGTGCACGCGCATGACCGCGTATCGATACATATCGATGAATCTTCCCATCCCTACTCCAAATGCAAGATGCATCACTTGAAATGGTTCTGCCATGCTGCTGTTTTCATGCCAACTTGCTACACAGAAGCCTGGAACGTTTGCCCCACTTCCGAGTTTTTCTGATCGGTTCACTGCTGTGAAACTAACAGTGATGAGCACCACTGCTCAAAAGTTGAAACGATGGTGCTTGTGGCCATATTGACCATTATATTTTTCCCCATTCAAAACTATAAAATGGACATCTATTGTGTATTCTATAGTCTTTTGTCCCTTTCACACAGTGATACTGGTAAATATCCAGAAATTTTCAGGAAAAACTTTACCGGTAAAAAAAAAAAAAAAAAAAAAAAACAGGCAAGGACATTACGGAATTTTTTTCGGAAAGGACCATTACACATCTATTACAAAATACCAAAAATTCTGGAATCATTTACCACAAATGCGCACTAAATAGCTGCGCTTGTATTTATAATCATGGAGGTGGACAGGGTTTTTTTTTTTTTTTGTTTTTATTTAAACACTTTTATTTCATGTATTCGTGCAGCTGCTTTGTCCCAGAGACAAATTTGATTACACTGTGAACAATTTCGATGAAAACATATGAAGGAACACTTTTGCATATTGAGGGATACATAATAATATGTGTGTGTGCTGGCGCTCAACGGAGCACTACTTCATTGCCGGAACAAATTTACAGATATTTTCAAAAAGAGCCTGTTCAAACATGATCGCTTTCTGGAAAATTGCCGGTCATTTTCCGGAAAGGACGGTATGTGTGAAAGGGGCTTTTGACTACAGTCAGCTGTTCTAACAACTTGACGGAAACGCACCTGATTCGCATTTGCAATTTTTAGGTGAACTTTGAAAAGATTCTCTTTAGGTTAGGATGGAAACCTAGCTAGTGTCTCACCGACCTAATATACTGACACATTTGATTTCTTCCCCAATTCTTTTTACTGACATGTGTGACTCATTTGAAGTTCTGTTTTGTGGGCTTGACTGGTTCTTCTTACACTCGTCTTGTTATGCAGCATAAACTTTAGACACATTCTAAGTGAAGTTTATTTACAAATTTCGAGAGGATCACGTGCTTATGATTGTTCACAGCTGTTCCAACTTTAGCTAATGACTGATTATCCTATCAGTCGATCCTTAACTCACTATAAATAACCAGACTTTTCTCATCTCAATATCTTCATCTCGAAAAACCCCCCCTCACCCAACCCTACTTTCCCTCCTTTCAAACGGGCGTCACGGTGGCCAGCGATTAGCGCTGTTGCCTCACAGCAAGAATGCCCCTTGTTTAATTCCTTTCCAAACCAGACGGCATTTCTGTGCAGAGTTTGCTCGTTCTCTCCGTGGTCGCGTGAGTTTTCCCCGGGTCCTCCGGTTTCCTCCCACAGTTCAAAAACAAGCACTCTAAACAATTAATCCAAATACATTAGCTAAACTCTGAGTACACCTTTCAGCATCCATATCTGACACTTAGCTAAAACAAGCAAGAGGGGGAGTCATTGAGATCTACCTGAGCTCAAACTCCCCTCTCGCCTTGCAACGGGAGGGAGCCCAGGGCTCGAGGATCTTATAAGCTCAGGGCTCTCTCCCGGGACAGCACGCCAAACTAGCTTTATTATCAATCATCAGCTAAGTGTGAACTCTTGAAGTATCTTATAAGTTTACACCTTCAATTTGTCAGAATCACTTTTTTAGATATTTTTATTTTCTATTTTTTAGAACTTTCTGAAAAACTTTGCTTTGTCTGGTGAACACCTTTAAAATGCCCATGGCAATTTCATAATGCCTATGCATTAGGGTTGGGCATCTAAGCTATAATGCCGATCCGATACGCATCTCGATACAAAGAATACGATCCGATATATTAGCGATACATTTGTGACATATTGCGATGCAACACGATACGATTCACACCCATATCACGATACAATGCGATAATTCAGCACTAACTTATTAGATAAAGTTTATGAGATTATGTGAAAGAGGATGCTGTGCCATTGAATGAGTTTGATTATTTATTAACCAAGCAAAACCAAGACTTTTTTTTACAAACTGGCTTTTCTCTCAGAGCCAGAGTGTCAGTTTACAGTAGAGGGCCATTTTAGAACATATAGCACATATTATTTAAGTATTTTCAAGATAAACAGAATGTATAAGTGCAATATATATTAAAATATATGTATTTGCACTCTTTCAACATAAAGGTTTGCCACTGAATATTCAAAACTTAAGGTGGTGAACTAGCAGTGTTATGCTGCTTTGAAACATCACTGTCACTGTAAACAACAGGCTAATAAAAATATAACAAACCAGCAATCTTCTTGCTGTGAAGTGGTCAAACTACCCACTGTGCCACCGTGACACCCATTATTTTTATCATTATTAATATTAATATTATTATTATTATTATAATTAAATAAAAATTAACAGGAGGAGGTGTTTAAAATCTTCGTTCTCCGTGACACTAGGCTGAATATCTTTGCAGATGAACAATGCAATAACATTCGTTATTGGCGTAGAGCGAGCAGAACTGTTGCGCATGGAGAAAACTTGCAATGCTTTTCTCACCACTTTTTGAGCTGGTAGCTACAGTTGAAGCAGTGCAGGAAGCCGGGGATGCAGAAACACTGGAAGATGCTTTCACAACAACACAGTGGCGCCGCTTCAAGTGAGATTTCAGATTAGTCGTACTGCCCGTGTATTTTACAGATGCGCGGCACATTTTGCAAATTGCATCTGTCCTGTCATGTCGTCCATCCTTAAATCCATAATGTTGCCATACTTTAGATTTAAAACTCGGTGGGGAATAAAATGTTTGTTTTGCTTCTCGCGCTTTCTGAGGGCGCACCCCTAGCTTCATCCGCACACCTGATACACTGAGTTGTAGTGTAAGTGTACACATCCGCAAATCCGTTGCTAAGGCTTACTTTATGTTGGTCGATTAAATTATGCGCCAAAAACAGGTTGACAACACTTGTTAATAAATAAAAAATACATTCTATATTAAAAATATAAGCTGTATCTTGGAAAAACCGATGCATCTCGCAAAAACCGATGCATCTCGATTCGCTTCCAAAATTTCATTCATCCTCTGCTGCTCTACCGATGCACTCGCATCGTGCACGCGCATGACCGCGTATCGATACATATCGGTTAATCTTCCCATCCCTACTATGCATGGCTCTGAGGCCCTGCCTTGACAGAAAACTTCCCAGGTTAATTTCTTCTATTTAGTCGGTCAAAATTAGATGCATTTAAAAACATAAACACACCAAAGAGCTGCTTTAGAGAAGAAATGGAAGAAATACTAGCTGAAAATGATACACTATGAAAAGAATGATAACTTTTAATTGTAGGACAACTTGCTGCACATCTTTTTTGAGTTGACTCAATTTTTAACAAAAATACTACACTACACTTTTCCTTTTATTACTGTAGAGCTGCTACAGGTCACATGGAAATTTCATTAAAAAACACCCTGGTGATGATTTACTGTACAGTAAAAGATTTAAATAGAATCCCACAGGATAAATGGAAGTCACATTACCTTAAAAAAATAATGATCACAATACAATTATTTACATTATACATATTCACCTTCACGAACACCATCAGAGTGTTTGCTATCAGTAAATCACTGCAAGTGTGTTTTTTAAATCTGTTTTTTACCTCTAAGCAAAGGAATGAAGGTGAAAAAACATGAGGCACAAATATATGAGCACTTCAGTAATACATTCTAACCAACTGTGTATTTGTTCAGCTTTTTAATCATATAAATTCCCATCTTGTGTTTCAGGTATTTATGAACAGACGTTTCTTATATAACTGCAGTGCTCCAGTCCTGGATGTGAAGATTGCCTTTTGTCAGGTGTGTGTTCCATACAGGTAAATTAAAAGGTAGAGTATTCATTCACTTCCATTCTGTGAGTCATTTTCTTACCGATGTCTCATTGTCTAAAAACAAACTCTGGTGACAGCGTGTCTGGCCTTTGAGGAAGATGTACAGCTCACAGGATCAATTCCTCGCAACATTCACATTCATTTAGAGTCAGGTTTCCCCAAAATGCATTAAGAGCATCTTAATACACTTTAAATATGCATGCTAGTGTCTTCTAAAATCAATGCAGTCGCACGGATACATCACTGAAATTAAAAGCACTTAAAGGTAAGGAGAAATTCGGAGTCATTTACGCACTCTTGCTGTTTCTGCAAACCTATATAAGCTTATTTTTTTCAGATTTGTGTTGGCTTAAATTTCAGTGCGTGTCTCATGAGAAAGCAATAATAATATACAATAATTTTATAATATTATAAATAAATTAGATTATGGGAATTGGTCACAACTGTTGACTTTAAAGAGATTTTTAAGTGATTTTTAAGAACAATTTGCATACTTTCTTTCAGAATTTTTGTTTTGTTTTACACCACATTATATGGACAAAATGTTTATAGCAACCATTAATGTTAACAGAGTGTGCTTTTATTGATTTAATCTCTTTAAATTCAGTGTAGAGCTGTACATCTTCCTTAAAGGAACACTCCATTTTATTATTATTATTAATATTAATAGTCTCGTTCTACAAGTTACCTACAGTTAAACAGTTGAGCTGTACCGTTTTTGAAACCATTTAGTCGATCTCCAGGTCTAGAAAAAGCACTTTTAGCTTAGCTTAGCATAAATAATAGAAATGGATTAGACCATTAGCATCTTGAGCTAAGATTTTTAAAAATATAAAGTAAATATATTTAAAGTCTTAGGCTACTCTTCTGTAGTTACAGTACACGGTGTACTAAGAGCAATGGAACATCAAAAGTTGCTATTTTATAAGCCAATATGGCTAGGAACTATACTTTTATTCCAGGATAGAAAATCAAGGAGCTTTTCTGCAGATTTTTTTGAGGGAGATGCTAATGGTCTAATATGATTCAACTTTTAATGCTAAGCTAAGCTAAGCTAAGCTAAAAGAGCTTCCAGAGATCGCTGTATGAATCCTAAATTGGTAATACTCAACTTGTTTAAACCTTATGTGATGTTGGGGATGTTTTCATCCACTGGGGTGATTTTGAGTCTTAATTTGGCCATAACTTTTTCTGTGTTTCAGCTAGCGGAATGATTTTTGGTGACACATCTTACTTTGACACATATTTTGAGAAAATGCTTTGGGATTGTTTAAAGAACTCAACAATATACTCTCGGCAATTTACTACCCTTTTGTTATCTTAAGAAGGAAAACATCCACTAAATTAAACTGCTGTAAAAATACATCAGAAATCTTTTTCTTCTTTCTTTGCATAAATCTGTTAATCAACCTCAGTCCTGATCAAAACTACTAAATTGCTTAGAAAATTACAGGATTTAACCTTTTTAATTGGCAAATTCATAAATGATGTCACTGATTTGGTGAAAAACAAAGAGAAAAGGATGTATATTAAATATAAATAAATAAATATTTGTGGACTTGTGGTCTTGGACATGTGAAACAGCATTGCCTTTGATGCATTGTTTTTGATTGATTTTATTTATTTTTCTCCCTAATTTACTATTGCTGGCTGTTTTTGCCCTACTAACTTCCACTAAAACCACTTTTTTTTTTCATTGCAATTCCATGACAGTATATAATCATGCATTTTTATTGTTGGTGGTTTTCCCTGTTGGGAAGAGGTAAAATTTGTCATTTTTACTGTTGATCATTAAGGCTGATTTATACTTCTGCATCAAGCGCGTGCGTTTGCTATGTTGACGCATAGTGGCCGTCGCGTCGCTGACGCGCACCTCTTAAAAAATGTAACTACACGTTACAACGACGCGTAGTGCAAGCTCTGTGATTGGTCGGCTTGGTAGCGCTGACGAGTCTAGGCGGGACCAAGAGCCGCACGAGCCAAATGGAGTGATTGTTTACAAGTATGGAGTCTTGTGAAGGAGCTCCGGAGGGAAAGCTTTGTTTTGTGTTTACCTCATGGTTAAAGTTGTTACACGTCCGCTCGTTCCTGCCTCAAAATTTGCTAATTTGAGCCACTTGTACATTAAGGAAGCGTTCAGAAAAAACAAAACACCAGTGAAGAAACTCGACACAGAGGAACATTAACACATGACTGCCACCTAGTGTTTCAAAAGTGTTATTGCAGTACAACAGAAACTGCATGCAGAAGTATAAATGCACAGCTACACGCGTTGTATGCGTCGTGGGTCATGCCGATCACTTGACGCAGAAGTATAAACCAGGCTTAAAGTTAACACCATAAACCCTTTAGATAGGTCTGTGCAAAAATAAATAAATAAATAAATAAATAGTTTCTGTATTTTATATAGAGTATAACAGCAAATAAGTGTTTGTATATGTGTAAGAGTAACCTTTTTGCACTTACCTTGATGTGTTTGAGAAAATAAAAATATGCATCTCAGCTCTCAGAACTACATGGGGTAATTATGTAATGGAGTAATGTTATGCACCATCAAATGTGGTTATTATGGAAGTCAATGTTGCAAATACAGCCACCAACAGTAAATTCGGGAGCAAAAAAAGAAAGTCTAACAATGCATCAAAAGCAATGTTGTAACTGATCGTTCACATGTCCAAGACAATTAATTATATTATGAAAATACATCCTTTTGTGTGTGTGTGTTTTTTTTCATCATTTGTAAACTTGCCAATTAAAGAGTTAAAATATTGTCATTTTTTAAAAACATTTAGTAGCTTTGATCAGAAGTGAGGTTGATTAATAGATTTATGCAAATAAATAGAAAAAAAAAAATTCTGATGCGTTTTTACCTAACTTAACAAAAGGGTAGTAAATTTGAACAGTGCACAAAGGTTAACTCGTGAAATGAGCCAAAAATGATTTCCAAAAAACATGGAGTGTTTCTTAAAATTTCTCTAGATTTAAAGGCATGAGTCAAGGACTAACATTTAATGTCCTTATTTGTTGCATGTGCTTTTTTTTGAGTCATTTAGTACTGATCTGATCGTAAACATTAGACATTCATATTGTAATGACATTTCCTGCAAATTCTGGTGGTACATGGTGAACATTTAGGTAGTAAAAGAAATATACTATCTGTTCCCTGAAGTAATGATAGTAGAACTGCTAAATATTATGCAGTAGGTCACCTCAAATGTCCCTTTTTGTCCTTCATTTTCACTTTACACCATAAATTACCTTATAAGCTGTCAGAAAGTCCTTCAGTGGGTCACACAGATCACAGGTCAGGATTAAGATTCACTCTATTAGCCGAAAGGTTGTAAGTTCAAATCCCATAAGGATCAATGCATGAATCAACAAGCATGTCCTTGAGCGAGAGACACTTAACCTCAGTGTTTTCCACAGGGACTGACAGTGTATTAAGTCTACTGTTGGTCAATTCAGATAAATGTGTCTGCTGAATGACTACCTGACAGTATGCTTTGTTTGCATTGTAGCTTACATGCATGACTTTTGAAAGGGAAAAAAGTGTATTTTATGAAACAAATCATGAAAATTATACTTTTTATACACTATATATTACTTTTATATTACTTTTTATCCAAAAACTATGCAGTATGTATAATGTACTTTTAGTTTAAGGGTATGACAGGCTGTTTATAGATTAAAAAATATTCTAATAAAGATCCAGTAATTGTTGCTTGTGTTGCAAGCATAATGATAACAACGCAATACTAAAAAACAGGCAATCTTTAACTTGTTTAAATGAATGTATTAATTCTGTCTTCATGGTCACATGCAGAGTGTGAATTACAAGGGGGCTTGGGGGGATTAATTAAGGCTTGGTTTCCCCTGAAGAACAACAAAACAAGATATATGGGAGTCCTACTGAATCTGAGAAGTACACTCTGATCTGTATCCTCCTGAGACCCAAAGATTTTTTTTTCTTATTTTTTTCTTTGATTTCCCACATCATTTGGGTTGAAAAAAAATTCTAAAAATTTTTACAAATTTTTTTTTAAATTTTAAATTTTGTTTTTATTTTAATTTTACAGCATGTCCACTGTAGTGGACTAGAGGATCATTTTAATTCGAAACGACCGCCACTCAGACAACAAAACAGACAACAAAACTGTAAAGGACATGGCTGTAAAGGGATTTTAATCCAACATTTATGTAACAAAAACAAACCAAAAGCAATTTTTTCCTTTTGTATTGAAATTACTTAAACAATTTAGTCTGAAAGAGAGTAGAACTCAAAAAAGAAGTGATGTTAATCCAAAACAAATTTAACATAAGCGTTTTAAAACTGATGGTCATTCTCTAATTGTCTGATTGTCAGACTCTAAATCAGAGTCTCGCTCAACTATCGTATAAAGAATCCTCTCTGCTTCAGTTCTGCCCCCTACAACATGCAGTCATTAATTACATTAAGATGGTCCTGGTGTCCACAATAGTGGACATATAAAAAAGGATGATATTTTGAAGCACAACAAGCTAACAGCTTTGAAAGCTAAATGTATTGGTCCTAACACTTTATTAACACATATATATTTGATAATAAAAGTTAAAAAAAAAAAACTTTAAAAAGCTAAATTTTACATACTGTACCTCTCTCCTTCCCATAAAATGTGCTTTTTTTGTATGTTGGCCATTTTGGATGCAGTGTAAGAAGTGATTCCAAGCATGCCAGCCAATTAAATGACCTATCACTAGAAAGCCCAGGATGTCATCTGAACAGTACAACAGGACTTGACAGAGTAGCTAAAAAAATTCAAGGAAAATTCATGAAAACGCAATGTCCACTACAGAAGACACAAGTCAACGGGCGGGGTCTCAGGAGGGTATATTAAATAATCATGTTAATGATTAAAATAATAGATATCCATTATATTCATATGACGGATCATACCATTGTAAATGCATAATCGCTCCAATTAGTCTATTGCGGTCATTCAACAGTCTGAAACTGGCAGATTTAGAGCACCGATAGACATTGTAAGAGTTTACAAGACTGATTTCTCATAAAATAGCTCTTTGTTTCTACATAAAACCTAAAAGTAAAGTCAAATTAGATGCGTAGTTTGTATAGTTTGTCCTAAAGTAAGCCAAGCTAATTAGGTCAGAGTACACTAAATAGCCTATTCCACAAAACACTGCAAACTTTAATACATTTTATTATTAAATTAGATGTAATTTAATTAATACATAAATTTGATTCATCGAAGCATGTACTGTATTACCCAAACTAACATTATCGAAAAAGTTGACTCCCTCGCAATCGTCAATGTATAATTCACACACTGGACACATGATGCTCCAGGAGTCATTTTAATACACTGATATGGATTTTAATGAACATTTCTTATTATTTTTAATGTAAAAATATTTTTCCCAGTGATGGGTTGCAGCTGGAAGGGCATCCGCTGCGTAAAACATATGCTGGATAAGTTGACAGTAAATTTGCGAGGTGTTTCTAATGCAGTGTCTATGGGGGATGGACAGTAAATTTGACAGTATTCTGACTCCTCTGACTGCCATCATCAGTCTCACCCTATTTTTTTCCCTTTTTCTGAAAGTCTTGATAACACCATAATAAGAGTGTTTCTTTTATTATTTCAGCAAATAGGATTGTAAAAACAAATATTTGTTGTGCTTTCCCATTTACTGTGCTCTAAGTTGACCCAACTATGACGACTTCACTGCTGTGAAATCCGGAAATGTGAAAAGAGTCTTTTAAAAACTGATTATTTTGCAAGTATTTTTGTATGCTAGGAATATTTGGAAGTTTTGAAAAATTGTAGTTTTTGGCTTAATTGTCATCTCACTATGTTGTGGAACCGAACTAGTTTCATCGCAAAAAACAAAGCGTTCAACATGCTCTATTCCTTGTTCGATAACAGGTCACAATTACAGCAAATCTTAGCTCATTTGCTTCAAATTAGCCCAGTCAGTTTAATAGGAGGGAAGTGGAATGAGAAGAGACTCCCATGATGAAGATAGACTTTAAGAAGCTCACACATGCACACACACACACATAGTTAAGGGCAAAGTTATTAGCCCTCCTGTTAAATATTTATTCTCAAGTGATATTTATTGGAACAAGGAAATTTTCACAGTATTTCTGATGATTTTTCTTTCTTCTCAAGAAAATCTTATTTGTTTTATTTTGGACAGAATATATACACTTGAAGTCAGAATTATTAGCCCCCTTAAATTATTAGAACGCTTGTTTATTTTTTTCCCCAATTTCTGTTTAACCGAGAGAAGATTTTTTTCAACACATTTCTAAACATAAACATTAAATGTTCAACATTTCTAAACATTAAGTTAACCAGGCAGGTTAGGAAAATTAGGCAAGTTATTGTATAACAGTGGTTTGTTCTGTAGATTATCAAGAAAAAAATATAGCTTAAATGGGGCTAATAATTTTGTCCCTAAAATGGTTCATAAAAAAATCAAAACTGCTTTTATTCTAGCCGAAATAAAACAAATAAGACTTTCTCCAGAAGAAAAAATATTATCAGACATACTGTGAAAATGTCCTTGCTCTGTTAAACACCATTTGGAAAATATTTAAAAAAGAAGAAAAAAATCGAAAGGGGCTAATAATTCTGACTTCAACTGTACATTTTAAGGTGAATATTATTACCCCCCTTAATCAATATATTTTATTCCTGATTGTTAAGAGAACAAACCATTGTTAAACAATGACTTGCCTAATTACTCTAACTTGCCTAATCAACCTAGTTATAATTTTAAATGTTACTTTAAGCTAAATACTACAATCTTTAAAAATATCTAGTAAAATATTATTTACTGTCATGGCAAAAATAAAAGAAACCAGTTATTAGAAATTATGTTATGTTTAGAAATGTGTTATAAAAAATCTCTTCCTTAAACTTGGGGAAAAATATAAATATAACATATAAATAAAATTTAAACTTCAACTGTATAATCTTTCTCTCTCTCTTTCTCTCTCTCTCTCTCTCTCACACACACACACACACACACACACACACACGCACACACACACACACACACACACACACACACACACACACACACACACACACACACACGCATACACACACACACACACACACATGCCAATTAGCATTTTAGCTCGTGAAATTATGTGGACAGTTCCTTCCCCTGGTACAGCCTTGAATATATATTCACTGTGTGACAGTTAGTACAATCGATTACACAGCTGGCATGAAGAGAGCTCCATAACCTTGATAGTTTGACTTAATATAGTCACAAATCTGAGATCTTTAGCCAAGCACAGATAATATATAACCTCTTTAGTAACATATATAAATTCTTAAGTGCTAGATGTAAACACAAAGTATAACACTATAATGCAAAAAACAGAGTAATGTTTTCAAATAACCTTTGTGAATCACTTAATGCCCTGCCATTTGTACGCTATGTTGGACAAAAGTGTCTGCTAAAAAAGTGTTTCTCAACCACGTTCCTGGAGGACCACCAGCTCTGCACATTTTCCATGTCTAATTAACCAAACACACCTGATTCAGATCATCAGCAGAGACTGAAAGACCTGCAGAGCTAAATAGACAGTGATGAAGCTTGGGCAGAACTGAGGACAGTGATATAGAAGCAGGTGTTGATCTTTTGACAATACGTACATTTGGCAGATTGGTTTTAATTATAAGATGTTTTTAGACTAACAGGAAAGATTTGAGTTCTGAAATATCATGTCAAAAGATCAAGGGAATTTCGATTTCTTCTTATGAGCCCTTTAATAATAGCCAGTATCAGTCCTTTGGAGCTGCTTATTATTGGTATGAACAGTACAGGCTACAGTACATCATGTTTTTCCCCTTTTTATCTCCACACAGGGTTTTGGCAAACAAGTTGATGTTTCTTACATTGCCCAGCATTACAACATGAGCAAAAGCAAAGTGGACAACCAGTTCTACAGTGTGGAAGTAGGAGATTCCACCTTCACGGTTCTCAAACGGTACCAAAATCTAAAGCCCATTGGTTCTGGGGCTCAGGGAATAGTGTGGTGAGTATTCACATTCAGAATTTTTCTTTTTAAAATGATTGATTTTATAACATTTGCTTTCTGGATGAAGACTTGGATTTTAAAGGGTCACAGAACACCAAAACACATTTTTTGAAATGTTGACAGACTTATACATGTCTCACGCAGCTAAAAACAATATTATGACACATATAATTTTCTAAAAAGTGAAAATTTGCTTGTTTTTGTGCTGTTTTGAGCAAATTCGTCCTTCCAGATTAAAATAAATTTTGAAGCTGCGTCACGGTGATGAGATCATTGTGTAGATTCCGAAGTAGAGATTGGCTGTCTGTACCACTCAGTACAAAGTGACATCATTGAGTTTTCAGCACATCTGTTTATTAATTCATGAGAAAGACTTGGTTCGAACCAGTGGCATTGCGAGAGGGGCTTTAGGGGCTTAAGCTCCTGATATATTGTCAAAAGCCCCTGATCTTTTGAAATATGTTGCACTTAAATAAAATAGGTTGTACAACATTTATTTTGCTATCCAAGTACTTAAAATTACAGTGCTTGGATAACAAAAAATACATCAGCAAAAAATAGCAAAATAGCAAAAAATAAATCACGCGCATTTCACCTAACGCAGCGTTTGTGTCGGGTATATAAAGTCAGTTGTTTAGCAGTACCTGTTTTTACCGGCTGGTGGGAATGGGACTGTTGTCATGGTTGTCACATGGCAAGTGTTAAAAAATCACGCCACTGCACTGTCTTCATTCATTCATTATTTTGAGGAACTGAAGCTAATGAGGTAATAAAACTGTTTCGCGAAACTGAATAGTTCTAACAACTTATGAAGCTTAATCATTTTTTACAGTATAAAATTTGTATAGTTTTGGTGAAATAATGTAAATACATTATTAAATGTAAATAAATGTAAATTGTACTCTCTTTCTAGATATGATATAGATATCTAGACACATTTATCTAGATATGATTTAGCCAGTCACATCTGTTTCTGTAATAGTTAAATCACAGTGAGTTCATGCATCTAGCTTATTATTTATATTCTACTGCAACATGCTATGTCAGTTAGCATCCCTTTCGACCCTAGCAACGCCCCTGGTTCGAACCAATCAGTGCTCTCTATTGTGAATGAGACGCAACTTCATTAAACTGCATGAAATAGCTTTAAAGACTCCTTTTACCTGTTACAGTGTTAAGAGAGACGCCACATTGCGTTGCCAACCGTAACTCAAACAAGTAGTAGAAAAATTGTTCGGCGATATTGGTCATCAGTGTTGCATTTATAAATGTGCTGCAATGAAGGTTTGGTTTCCATTTCCCCTAAACGAGAGCACAGCTTGAGATTACAGTGGTCTGCGACAAAAATATGTTTGTAAGGAACATTTTTTACCTGAGAGCCTTTCGCATCTGGAAATAGTGAAATCTGGATTTGCTGCTCGTCTCCTTTTTAAAAACACGCGGTTACAGTGTTGATTGTCCTGTCTACGGATTTGTTAAATGTGTGATCAGTGTTCTTTGTTTATCTTTATTCAGATGGCAAAGCTAGTATCATCAGCAGTACTCTTTCAGTTTTTAAAGACATACCTTAGTCAAAATGATTTAGTTACTAAGTTTACAGTAGGTTAATATCACTAAAATATTATGGACTGAAAGATCCGCTGTGAATGCTGCTCTCCGAATGTAAACATGAAACACCGCAATCAAACTATTAACGCCATGCAGGATTTTCGCAGCGTAAGATTTTCGCCACATTTTGTGACAGAATAGTCTATACACATGGCTGTTTGACACTATTTTACGCACCTACCGAGTCAGGAAAGGACCACAGAAACCTCTGCATTATTTTGCAGAAAAATGACCATATTTATCAATGTAACCCCACCGGTCCTACGCCCCCCAACCCGCTCCGAGCTGGTATCGAACCGGCGACCTTCCGCATGGGACTCATCCCCCTAAACCTCACTCCCATCCGGGTCACGGCACCATTTTAACCCCTCCTAGTTTGTATGTTTTTTAATAATGATCACGCGGAAGCAGTTTACCTGAGCAAATTCACTTTATAGTGTTCTCCGAAAGAAAACAGAGCTCTACACAGACAATAAGTGTACCAGGTCTGGTCACCAAAAAAACACTCTCAACAGCTTTTGAACAACAAGTGAAGTGACAAAATGGCTGGCTGACTCCACCCATTATACCCCCTTTCTCACCTGTAGGTGTCTATCTTTCTCCATGATGTATTACAAAGTTTAACAATGAACATAGGATTTTGATTTAATAAGAACAAATATTTTTTTAACAAAAACAAGCATTTTGACACCATTCATAATTAATTTACAGTTTCATTTTTTCCCCCGTTACACCAGCTCTGTCAAAATACTCTCCTGATTTTTTACTGCACTCTCAGAAATAAAGATACAAAATCTGTCACTAGGGTGGTGCCTTACAAAATGTACATTTTTGTTCTTAACAGGTCCTTAAAGGTACATAATAATACCTAAAAAGCACAAATGTGTACCTCACAGCACCTAAAGGGTACTAATGTCCACCCATAGTGCAAAAGTGTACCCTTTTGATAAGGTAGTGCACCAGAGACAGATTTGGTACCTTTATTTATGAGTGTGCATGTCCTGCCCTACAACTGTTTAAAATGAATACCTTTTACTACAAATATGACATTTCTTCACAATAGTTTTGAAATTCTATCACAGATCTCCTTTAAGAGTGTTTGATTTTAACAATGACTGGACTTTCGTTTATGGGAAATCTGGATGAAATGTGTGTGCTTTTCCTCCCCCATACCTCTTTGCGTGCATCAGCGGTGTGTTTGTTGCGGTGGAGGCAGGACTGGACTGTTAATGACGTTGTTGATGTGTTCTGGCTGGTTTGCAGTAATCTGGCCTGCTGGATGGACAACCCTGATCTCATTTAGCGTCCTCTCCTCTCCTCAGCAGCAGTCATGTGATGCTGCATGGCAGCTGTATTAGCATCATTCTCTGGAGAGAGAGAGAGAGAGAGAGACGAGAGAAGGACAGTTTAAAAGGGCTGTGCAGAGTCACATGTCTCACACAGGCTTGGGCATTACATGTATTGCTGTATTTTAACATTTTGGACAACTAGAAATAATCATCAAAACTGAACTTTTATGCATATAGTTTACTTGACATAAATTTTAAAAAGATTACTAACGAAAAATCTAAAATCTCTGCCTTTTGATATGAAAATATTATGTTTAATTCAACGCATTAGTTGCTGATTTTTATCATTTTTTTTGTAAGTAATTGTGAAATTTACCAGCAATTTCTAGAAGATCTTATTTCAGTGTAGATCCACATTTTTTCAAAATTTGTTTTGAGGTGAACTGTTTGTGGTGTTTTCACTTTAAATGTACAAAGTTTGAATATTTCTGGCGATTTAGCAACAACATTTAATATCCAATTACTTAATTGAATAACATAAAATGGCTACTATTATTTTTAAATGTTACCATAGTGACTATATTGAAAAATATTGCAGTCACGTCTTATAGGTTACATAAGTTACATTGCTATGTATATTATATGTATGTCATACAATTTTACACAATTAGAAATGATCACCAAAACTGAACTTTTATGCATACAGTTTACATGACATAATTTTAAAGAAAATTACTGAAGAAAAATCTAAATAAATATAAAAAATATATAAAATATAATCAATATAAAAATGTATTTTTTAATTTTAAATATTAATATAAAAAGAATTTGTTTAATTCAATGTAATATTTATATATATATATATATATATATATATATATATATATATATATATATATATATATATATATATATATATATATATATATTTGGTAATACATTGTGAAATTTAGTAGCAACTTCTGGAAGATTTTAATTCAGTGTGGATCATCATTTTTCAAAAGCTGTACATTGAATAAAAAAACTGAACTCTTTGTGATGTTTTCACTTTTTATTAACAAAGTTTGAATATTTCTGATAATTTAGCAGGAAAATCAATTACTCAACCACTAAATTAAATACCTTAAACTATTATTTGTAAATGTAAAATTAATTACTAGTTACTATTGCTAAAATATTGCAGAACAAATTTAATTGCAAAAATATGACTACCATTTTAACATGAAGGCCAAAATTTAACAAGCCAAAACTTTGTAATAATATAGATTTTTTTTACTCTTTCAAAACAACAACAAGGTAAATATAATGGCTATTTTGTGATGTAAAGATAAACTTTCAGCATCATTACTCATGTCTTTAGTTCGACATGGTGACTCAGTGGTTAGCACTGTCATCTTACAGCAAGAAGGTCGCTGGTTCAAGTCCCGACTTAATTTTTTTTATTTATAATTTAATTTTTTAACACTAATTTAATAAAAATGTCATTTATAATTTTATAATATTTTCTTAATTATAATTTCTATTTGCTGCTCAAGAAAATGTGTATTTATTATTCATATTGTATCTGCTAATAATAATTGAGCACCAAACTCTGGGATATTTTATTTCAGTGCTTATTTATTCATTCATTTTCTTGTCAGCTTAGTCGCTTTATTAATCCGGGGTTGCCACAGTGGAATGAACCGACAACTTATCCAGCACATTTTTACGCAGTGGATGCCCTTCCAGCCGCAACCTATCTCTGGGAAACACACACACACACACACGCACACGCACACGCACACGCACACACACTACAGACAATTTAGCCTATACCCAATTCACCTGTACCGCATGTCTTTGGACTGTGGGGAAAACTGGAGCACCTGGAGGAAACCCATGCGAACGCAGGGAGAACATGCAAGCTTCACACAGAAACACAAACTGAGCCGAGGTTCAAACCAGCGACCTTCTTGCTGTGAGGCGACAGCACTACCTACTGTGCCACTGCCTCGCCATTTTTCCACAACTTTGACTACAAATTTAACAGGAAAATGAATTACTCAGTTACTTAATTAAATACCACAAAATGCAACTATTATTTGTAAATTTTAAAATAAT